AAAAAGGTCGGCAGTTCCAATCTACCAGCCACTCCTTGGAAACCCTATGGGGCAGTTCTACTCTGTCCTGTAGGGTCGCTATGAGTCGGAATCGACCCGAAGGCAACAGGTTTGCTTTTTTTTTTTTTTGGTTAATACGTGTTGCTAACTCTTATTTGCATGTAAATCTTCTAAATGTTTACTAAGGAAAAAAATATCCATTTATTCCTATACATTTTTTAATAGACTTACTTGTAAAGCAGTTCTAGTTTAGGTTTACAGAATCAGTGAGCAGGTAGTACAGAGTTCCCATATATTCTCTCACCCCGTACATGTGGTTTCTCCCATTATTAACATCTTGCATTAATGTGATATGTTTGTTACAAATGATGAACAGATTATTAATGCATTATTATTATTCACTAAAGTCCATGGTTTACATTAGGCTTCCCTCTTTGTGTTGTACAGTCCTATGAGTTTTGACAAATGCATAATGTGATGTGTCCACCATTACAGTATAAGGGAGAATAGTTTCACTACTCTTAAAATGCCCTGTGCTGCCCCCTATTCATCCTTCCCTACCTCCCCATGAACCCCTGTAACAACCACTATTTCCAGTTGTACCTTTTCCAGAATGTCCTATAATTGGAATCACCCAGTATGCAGCCTTTTCAGGCTGGATTCTCTCACTTAGCAGAATGCATGTAAGATTCCTCCATGCCTTTTCATAGCTTCATAGCTCATTTCTTTTTATCACTGAATAATAGTCTATTGTATGAATGTACCCGTTGGTTTAGCCACTCACTTATTGAAGGACATCTTGGTTGCTTCCAATGTTTGGCAAATGTGACTAAAGCTGCTATAAACATTTGTGTGCAGGTTTTTTGGGTGGACAGAAGTTTTCAACTCATTTGAGTAAATACCTGGAAGTGTTATTGCTGGATCATATGATAAGGCAATGTTTAGCTTTGTAAGAAGCTTCCAAACTGTCTTCCAGAGTGGCTGCACCATTTTGCATTCCCACCAGCAATGAATGAGAATTCCTGTTGCTGCACATCCTCACCAGCATTTGGTCTTGTTACTGTTCTGGATTTTAGCCATTCCAGTAGGTGTGTAGTGGTATCTCGTTGTTGTTCGCTAAGGACTTACGATGTTGAGCATCTTTTCAGATGCCCACTTGCCATCTGTATATCTTCTTTGGTTGTATGTCTACTCAGAACTTTTGCCTGTTTTGTAATTGGGCTGTTGGTTTTCTTTCTGGTAAATTTTAAGAATTCTTTGAAGTCCTTTATTAAATACATGTTTTGCAAATATTTTCTCTCAGCCTGTGGCTTGTCTTTCCATTCTCTTAAGTCTTATTCATTTTAAATGAATAAACCATCCCTACAAGAAACTTTATGGGGCATTGGTGGTTCAGTGGTAGAATTCTCGCCTTTCGTGCAGGAGACCCAAGTTTGATTCCTGGCCAATGCACCTCATGTACAGCCACCACCCGTCTGTCAGTGGAGTCCTGTGTGTTGCTGTGATGCTGAACAGGTTTCAGCAGAGCTTCTAGACTAAGACAGACTAAGAAGAAAGCCCTAGTGATCTACTTCTGAAAATCAGCCAATGAAAACCCTATGGATCGTAATGGTCCTATCCACAGCCCATCATGGGGATCATACAGGACTGGGCAGAGTTTTGTACCATTGTGCACGGGGTTGCATGAGTTGGAGGTGACTCAGTGGCAACTAACAACGACTGCACAAGATACTTTAGGTTATCTGAGTAACAAAGGGGACAGCTGGCATGAATAATCCTAAACTTGCAGAACAGTTCACTTTGGGCACAAGTCATTGGCATTTTGTCTTTCCCCAAAGACATTCTCCTCTGATGGTCAGTGCCTGGCTTGAGGCACATGCTTCAGGAACAGTGGGAAGGTGCTGCTCTGGAAAGCGGTGGCTGGCAGACATCCCACCTGGGACAGACTCTCCCCTAGAGATTTGTCTTCTGGAGTTGACTGAATATGTTTTGATTCCCTTTCAGATCCTACGCTATGGAGTACAGACCATGTCCGGCAGTGGCTGGAGTGGGCAGTGAAAGAATACAGCCTCCCAGACGTGGACATCTTATTGTTCCAGAATATCGACGGGAAGGAACTGTGCAAGATGACCAAAGATGACTTTCAGAGGCTCACCCCAAGCTACAATGCTGACATCCTTCTCTCACATCTCCACTACCTCAGAGAGAGTAAGATAGTTCCCTAACTTAAAACCTAAGCTTCAGAGGGTTCCAGCAAGTTTGCTGTTGACTGCACCTTCCTGCTTTAGCCCATTCCCATTTAGTATCTGAGAGAACAAAACACGTAGAATGCAATTACTTAGGGTGAACATCACCATAGTGACAAGTAGTCAAAACACCACATTAGCACTCAGCTGCCTCCTGCAGGCTGAGAACCAGTGTCATCACCCCAGAAGATAAAATATCAAAGGAAAACAAAGCTTCATCTGGTCACACATTATTTAAGCCTCCGTGAAGATCCAAATTTGAAATAGAAACATTACGGAAAGGTTCCCCTTTAATGGGAATTTTGGGGTTTATCTTCCCTACACCTAAACAGAGTCCCCCTTCATTCCCAACCTAAACACCAACTGGGGGACATTTTCACTCCCTATCCTGAGATATGGCTTAACCCCAGGTTGGGAATGGCGTCTTGGCGATTAGAGGCATGAATGCACAGAGTTCGCTGCATGCTTTAATTTTTAAAACATCAAGCATGTTGAGAAAGAAGGAGTGCAATAGAGGGGTGGTGGAAATTCTCCTCCATTGCTTTGCCTGGCATTCCAACCATTTATTTTCTCAGTTCAATATGGACCCCTACTAGGTGTTAACACGCTAACACGTAGCAAGGTGAATGAGATATACTCAAGGTGACCCATCATGGTAGGGTGGGACTCGGGGAATGTCTTCTTTCTTTCTTTTCTTTTATTTTTTTCTTTCTAAGAAAGGTAACCTGTCTCCTTTTTTCATTTTGTTGTTGCTTTTTGTTTTGTTTTGTAGCTCCTCTTCCACATTTGACTTCAGATGATGTGGATAAAGCCTTACAAAACTCTCCACGGTTAATGCATGCTAGAAACACAGGTAATGCAGCCCTGCCCTCTCGTCCACAGTACAGGTGTAAGGGCTTGTCTACAGGTTGCATGCTTTAAAGGTAGAAAAGTAGGACCAGGCAGTGCATCAGGAAGGCAAGATGTCAAGGTAGACAGTGGAGGGTTCGTCTTGATGACTAGAGACCCCGTGGCTGTGCAGCAGGCATGGCCTCAAGGAAGGTGAAGCCTTTGCACTCTGAGTACTTCTCTCTTCTCTCCCTTTGATAATCAGGGGACATCTTTTAACCTGGGAGATGTGCAGAATTAGCCTTCAGCTGTAGCCTTAGCTCACATTTGCTAGGTTATAATGTGTTGCTCTTAGTCCCAAAATATGCTCTATGCTGATTTTCTAGAAACTAAAAGCATGCTCAGTAGAAAGAGGTCCTTAGCATTCTCCTTTATTTTTTTCCTTTTCATTTTTATTCTTAAAGGAATGTTGACCAGGGCAAGCAGGTGTTTTATTTTTCCTTTCTATTGAAGTTTTGGGCCATTTGACTTGACTTTAATTTTATTGTGCAGACTTTGAACATTTGCTAAAGGCAGTGGTAGGGAATGCCTGTTACTTTTTGTGAGCTTTTTTTCAAAGGGAAAACTCGGTTATAATTTTGGAGGATATAAAATTAGTCACTAACTGAATGCCTATCTCTAACCATTGACTCTACTTTTTTTTTCTTTTTGTCTTTTGCCTGAGCCCAGTCAGGTCTAACACAGTGCTTCATCCTGGCTAGCCCTCCTCCCTCCCTCCTCTCTGGCTCTGATAGTTGAGATGGTGGGCTTTCTGCAGTTGAATGTGCTCCTTTTCCGTGTCTATTCTCTCCCTTCTATTGGCAAGAACTACAGAAGCATGGCCACAAAGCTGCTCACCCCTGCTGTGTTAGCCTGGAGGGACCCTCTCCAACCACCTAGCCTAGGAAGGAAAGCAGACGTGCTGGGAAGGTTTAGGGAATCCCCTTACAAGCAAGCAAGCAAGCAAGCCACCTCCTGTTCAGGCCTCACATAGACGTATGGCAATTTTCAAAATATTTGCCTTTTTACTCTGAAATGTCCAATGTGGATAAGTCCAGGCTTGTGGATTCCAATGGATTTGCTAGTTTATCTTGGTCCTCAGTATTCAAAATATTGGGCTTTTAGTCTAAAGGAAACAAAATACTATGAGTCGGTAGTACACCTTTTCAATTTAGTTTTAATGATCTGGCGGTGGGAAATAACAAATAACCTAGAGTAACCCCTTCCCCCCAGAAAAGGGCCAAACACCTTTGAACTATACATATTTTCTGATAATTTCAGAGTCATTTCAGTTTTTTTGAACAGTGAGTGGAAGTTTCAAGAAATCTCGTATTTCATTATTTCTGTTGTTGTTAAACTTAGAAGCCATGCAAGAACAGCACAATGAATTCCAAACGGACTGCACTGTGAAAAGAGAATTTTCTCCACAAGAAAAAGGGCAAATATGCATCTGAAGAGAAATATGGATTCATTTTTAATAAGATCCATATAATTTTAGGCAAAATATTTGTAATTCCTTGGTAGTACTTTCCAAGAGCTCTGCAAAATGTTTTACAGATTTTTATACAATTTGGAAAAAAAAGAAAAGAAAACCTCACACCATAGAATTCTTTTAATAAAATGAGATTGCTGGAGGGCACGGACGGGGCTTCAGCAAGAAGCTGTGAAATCAAACACAAAACACTTTACAACAAATGAGGCATCTCCCCATCTCTGGAGTCTTTGTCTGTATTCCCTGAGGTCTGTCCTGGCAGGCTCAAGGACAGTCCCCAGCTTGTTGTGACAGGGCAAAGTAGGTTTGGCACTGATGCTGAAACTGACAACTGCAAGAAAAGACCTTCACATGTTTTGTCTTTCCTTTTGTCTGCAGGGGGTGCAGCTTTTATTTTTCCAAATACTTCAGTATATCCTGAAGCTACGCAAAGAATTACAACTAGGCCAGGTACGAAAACACCCCTGTATGGTCTCCGCATTTAGAGGTATCCTAGGATGTCCTGCTGACATCCGTGACCTAAGTCACGCGATACAAAGAGAGATGAGCCTGGAGCTGAAATGAGTCCCAGACAGCCTCATCCTGCCTCTGTTGCTTTTGAAACTGAATTCAGTCACACCATGTCATTCTCAGATCCCACAAAAAGTCCTTGAACTGCAGAATTCAAACACACTAACTCTTTAACTTTTGTTGTTGGGTGCCATTGAGTCAATTCCAACTCATAGTGATCCTGTGTGGCAGAGTACAACTCTCCCATAGCATTTTCTTGACTGTAATCTTTACAGGAGCAGATTACCAGCTCTTTCTCCTAGGGAGCAACTGGGTGGTTTTGAACTGCCAACCTTTCGGTTAGCAGCCAAGTGCTACCAGGGCTCCTTAACTCCTTAACTGTTGTTGTTTTCGTTGTTGTTAGGTGCCGTCGAGTCAATTTTGTCTCATAGCGACCCCATGTGACAGAGTAGAACTGCCCCATAGTATTTCCCAGGCTGTAATACTTAAGGGAGCAGATCGCCAGGTCTTTTATCCCATGAAGCCTCTGGTGAGTTTGAACTGCTGACCTTTCAGTTAGCAGCTGCACCAGCAGGGCTTCTTAACTCTTGAACTAGTTGCCCTGAAAGATAAGCAGACAGCCTCGTGGATGTCTGACTATAAGGAGAATACATATCTGACTATAAGGAGAATACATCCACTTTCAAGTGAATTGAAGGATTATGTGTAAGTCTATCCTTTTGGAGGGAAAGAGCACAAAGCAAGAGGAATCCCCTGTATCAGTAGTAACCACTTCGCAGCATAGTACTAGAAGCCAATCATTCTGAACAGAAATGAGTAATAGATAATATTTTATCTGCATCTTACTAGATGCATTTCCAGATGCTTTAATGTGACAATTGATTTACCTAATTGTTCTGTTAATTCACACAACAATAAATATTTATCAAGGGACTATTATTGCCAGGTATGATATCAGAATCTGGGAATACAAAGATGAATCAAACATCAAGAACTTCTTGTCTTTGTAAAGCACACCTGTTCATTCAACAAGTGTTCATCGAGTACTTACTTTGTGCCAGCCACTGTTCTAGGCTCTGAGGATACAGTGGTGTGCAAGCTCAAGGTCTAGAGCAAGAATGTAGACATTACATATAGATGTTTATCCTAAAGTTCTAGGTGTTTTCAGTAGGGTAACTAGTCATGACCTCTAACCATAGAGGCTGTAGGAGAAGAAGGAAGGAACTCAACCCTCCATGAAAGGAAGAAGGAAGCTTTCCCAGAGGAAGGGCTATATAGGCTACATGCCAAAGGATGGTTAGACATTTTCCCAGTGAAGAATGCCTTAGATATTAATCCCATCTCTAGGACTTATTATAACCTTGTAAACTAGATATCATTATGCCAGCTTTACAGCTGAAGAAATTGAGATTAAGGGAGTGGGGTAATGTCTCCATGTTACATGGATCTGGAACTCACATCTTCTTAGACCAAGGTTTCTGCTCTTTGACCTCTGTTACATGTCCAGGCCACACTACTCTCAGAGTTTGAATAGGTCCAAGGTATTAGGCTTGGCAGCTACTGTTTGTTTTTAGTGAGAAAGACTAGAGGTCAGTGAGCTAAGTAATATGAGTGAAGAAGCGCCTCAGGGTTGGTCTCCCTCTGACACTCCCTGTGACTCCATAGTGATTTCAAGCTGGCAATTTTCTCTTCTTTGATCTTGGAGAAAAAGTGGGAAGCATGGTGGAAAGGAAGGCTTAGCCAAAATCCTTAGTTACTTCTACCATGTTAGAGATCTCACAGGCCATTTAAACTTGGACAAGATCCAAGGTCTAGAGTAAACTAGACTTTGTTGTTTGTTGCCATTGAGTTGGCTCCAAATCATAGCAACCTTACGGACAACAGAACAAAACTTTGACTAGTCCTGTGCCATCTTCATGATCATTGCTGTGTTTGAGTCTATTGTTGCTATTGTGTCACTCTATTTCACTGAGGGTTTCCCTCATTTCACTGACCCTCTACTTTACCAAACATGATGTCTGTTTCTAGAGACTGGTCTTCCTTGATGACGTGTCCAAAATAAGTGAGCCAAAGTCTCAACATCCTTGCTTCTGAGGAACATTCTGGTTGTATTTCTTCTAAGACTGATGAGAAATCCACCATGTGGGAAGGGGAGACATGTAATGAAAATGGAAAATAGAAATGTATGTTTTACTCTAGCTCTAGAGATTTCTGAGTTTACTGCTAATAAATGCATCCTTGGGAAAACAAGTACATTTAGGAAAGGGTGTCAACAATTTTGTGAGAATTTTTTTTTAAGTTTCCATCCATATCACAAAAAAAAAAAGCTATCTGCAAAACATTTTGTCAGGGTTGTTTGCTTGTTTGTAGATGAGCTATCTTGTAGATACCCCTGAATGAGAAACAAAAGCCAAGAATCTATGAGCTATTGCTGTGAGCTATGTCAGAAGATCACACCAATGGCCAAATCAGTTGGCACAGCCTGTTGATCAGCCAGCTGGCTACTTGATGCTGCTTGATGATATAACAGTGGTTCCTGGAACTAATTTATCATACTATAGGATACTGTGAATTTGAAAGTTATAGTCCAATCAGATGTATGACGAGGCACATGACTGGGAGGACAATGGCTGGGACATTCATCTGTGCTTTAGTCCAGGGAAAGGGTGGCAAATTCAAACAAACCTTATATCACTCTGATCATGTTCCTCCTTGGACCCATTGTTTGAGTGTGATCGGAACAGATTACACTTCCATGTCTTTGTAATCAGTGAAGTAAGTTTCTGAGATGCAATTTGTATTGAAAAGGCTTATTTTGATCACTGCCACTGTGATTTTGAAAGGAGATATAAATATTAATAGCTGAGCTGTAAAGAATTTAAATCAGGCTGAGCATACCAGAGAACTGTTTACTTTAAGCCAGATTTAGGGATTTGATATTGGAGAAGAGAATTATTTATATGCCTTAGGTCTTCCATTGCTTTAAGGTCAACCAGATATCAACCTTGAAGGACTGGTCCTGTGAGTATAAAAGCCTGTGACAGTGTAAATGGAGAACTTTGTGATGGCTCAAGAGGAGTGAGCACTGCATCACTGATTCCTGGTGCTGCATGAGACACAGAGGGGCTCATTGGGAATCTGACAACATCCCTATGGTCACTGGGAATCTGACTATGTCCCTATGGTCACTGGGAATCTGACTATGTCTTTATGGTCACTGAGAATGTCTATGTCCCTATGGTCAGTGGGTATCTGACTACTTTCAGAAGGTGGCGGTTGACTCTTCTCTTGAGAATCCTTTGGGATAGAACCCAGGTCTCTTGAGAGTCCTTTGGGATAGAACCCAGGCTTCTTGTTCCCCTCACTCTTGATTTGCTGTGTCATGATCTTCACGTCTTCTCCATTTCTCTAATTCTGCATCTCACGGACACATGGCATTCTGGTTAGCATCATTGGGCTGACCCTGCAATGAGCCAAGGTCCTAGGTAAGAACCCTATTTAAACCAGAATTTGCTCCTTCTCTTCATTGCAGCTATTTCATCATAAACTCTCTGGTTGAAGAAACAAAATAGTATTCAAGTTTTCTAGTTTTAGTTAGCCAAGAGCCTGCCTCCTTTCAGCAGAGATGTCCCCACCCCCATGTGTCTTCCTGCCAATTCCCTCCCAGTGCTCCCTACCCTCTTTTCCATCCCACTTCCCTCCTTTCCTTCTTGTGTTGAGTAACCCATCCTGGGGTGGTTGCCTCCAGTCTACCTTTTTCTCTTCCTTTCATGACAGAACTTCCCAACTGGATCACTCATTCCAGAGCACCCTTAATCCTTACCTTGTCTAATCAGCCTTAATGCTGCTATGTCATTTCAATTTTACATGAAACTTGGCCAAGATTATTTAGTGACTTTGTTGTTGTTGTTAGGAGCTGTCGAGTCAATTTTCCACTCACAGCGACCCCACGTGAGAGTAGAACTGCCCCGTAGGGTTTCCTAGGCTGTGATCATTATGGAAGCAGATCAATAGGTCTTTCTCCCGTGGAGCCACTGAGTGGGTTCTAGCCACCAGCATTTTGTTTAGCAGCCAAGCGCTTAACTATTGCACCATCTGGGCTCCTTTAGTGACTTTATAGACAGCGAAATAATGGATATATTTTTATTTTGTTCATTCCTTCATCCTCTCTCTTACCATGCTTATTCCTATTACTTTTTCCAAATTTTCCTGTTTCAAAACTCACTTTCCTTCAAGAACCTTGGTTGAATTAGCATTTAGATTGTTCTCTCTTCTACTCCATAGAGTATTAACACCCAGACATGTCATTTTGCATTCCATTTTTTATGAACGTTATTTTATGGCATTTCATGTTTTTCACAGGTGGTTTTATGTTATTACTGCCACTAAAGGTCCTTCTTTGCCGAACATACTCCCTTTGCAGCCATGGCCCCTTGAGGTCTCAGGGTCAAGTGGCAAAATCGGTGACGAGTCTGACTCGCAGAAACTTGCAAGTTGCTATTTGACCTCATGATGTGCCTCTCCACATGGCATCTTGGGAGCAGCCTATGTGAAGACTCTGATCTACCCCAGGGAGGACATTCAACATCCCCATCCTTTCTTTTTTTTCTTTTATTGTTGTGTTTTAAGCGGAAGTTTACAATTCAAGTTAGTCTCTCATACAAAAATTTGCACATACATTCTTATGTGACCCTGGTTGCTCCTCCTATACTGTGACAGCACACTCCTCCTTTCCACCCCGGATTTCCCATGTCCATTCAACCAGCTCCTGACCCTCTCTGCCTTCTCATCTCACCTCCAGACAGGAGCTGCCCATTTAGTCTCATGTATCTACTTGAGCTAAGAAGCACACTCTTCAAGAGTATCATTTTATATCCCATAGTTCAGTCTAATCTTTGAAGAGTTGGCCTCGGGAATGGTTTTAGTTCTGCATTGACAGA